CGGTGGATCAGATCGGTTTGATACTTCTTTCAGTGCACAGTAGAAAATAACGTACAGTAGTACGAAATTTTTAAGTGCTAAAAATAATGCTGTTGCGATTTATATTGTTACTAACTCTTGTCGTAGTGGTCATAACAGTCAGCATTGATAATGAGGTATCATCGATGTGTTGTTCATGTGTTTACGGTGTAGTGTTTTTGCACATTTACGATTACTTATATGTAGATAAATTATTTTTGAAATAATTTTATTGTTTGCAAAATAAAATATATATATGCAAAAGAATATATTAAAAGTGATACGTATACAGAAATAAACAACTTTCAGATTTGTCACATGTTTTAATTTTATTTATTATTAAAAAAATTTTTTTTTAATAAGTAAATAATTCATTAATGCTGTTTTTAAAATTTTTTTAATATTTAATATTAAGTACTCTTTACAGTTAATTTGTATATATATTTTGCACTAAAATGTTTTTTATACTATAAATTTTATAGATGCAGTTAATAATTAACTGCAAAACTTTTATCGATTTCTATGTGATACGAATATCATAATCCATGTAATATAAAAAAATATATTTTAAATTAAAGTTACAATCAAATTTGACTATACGTGTGGAGGAGCAAAACTCGAATAGTACAAGTGGAGTTGATAATGATAAAGGATTTTGGGAATGGCTGTTTGGTTCAGTAACATCATATCCACCAACAAACACAGAACCGCAGCAATTAGAAAAGTGTTTAAAATGCAGTATGTTTATTTCATTTAAATTTAATCTTATATTAATATTTATGTTTTTAGATATTCTTACACTATAAGTAATGATTATAGTTATTGTTGATTATTTTATATACACACACACACACACACACACACACACACACACAAATGCGAGCTTGCGCACGTGTGTGTGTGTATATATTCTTTATATGTACATTTTTATTTCAAGCAGTAATTTTTGTGATATAAGATTTTTTTTTATATAAACGTCCAAATACAATCAATTACAGATTATGTTTAAACATTCACTTATTCATGAATCATGCATGCAGTAATATTAGTGAACGTGTACTTTAGAGTTTAAACGTAATCTGTAATTGACCATATTTGAATCTTTATTATTATATTTCACAAACTATTACTTAAAATAAAAATTTACACATAACTTTTTTACTTAATTTTTTAAAAACTTTCTTAGATTCTTAAACGGTACTTAGGTTCGTGAATTTCGGAACACCCTGTATATTTCAATAAGATATTATTGAAAAAAAAGAAAGGAAACTTGATATATATATATATATATATATAACGTATATGTGCATTACATTTGAAATAATAAGATACTAATTCATTATTTATAGCTTGTGGTTTAACAAACAAACACAATCGTATTGTTGGAGGCATCGAGACGCTTGTCAATCAATATCCTTGGATGGTCTTATTGTTGTTCAGAGGACAATTTTATTGTGGGGGTACAGTTATAAATTCACGTTATATACTAACGGCCGCTCATTGTATTGACAGGTGATCCATCTGTTCATGTCAATTTTTTATAATCATTGAATATATGTGTATATGCAAAACGATCGCTGAAATAATCAGATTTTTATTTACAGATTCGATGCGAGCAAATTGATTGCCCGAATATTGGAACATGACTGGAATTCAACCGGTGAAAGTAAAACGCAGGATTTTCAAATAGAAAAAACAATCAAGCACAGTAGTTACTCGACCATTAATTACAACAATGATATTGGACTTCTTAAGCTAAAGGGTACTATTAAGTTCCAAGGTTCGATGCGACCTGCTTGTCTTCCGGAACAAGGTATCTCTTATAAAGTTTATGCATTCCTATACACAAATAATAATAAAGATTTTATTGAAAAGCAATATTTATTTGTTGAATGATCGATATCAAGTATTTTAGATTTAAAAAAAAAATCAACTTTAAAGAAGTAGAAAAATAATCTAAATTTGTTCGCATAAAAAAATTACGAATTAATTATCTCTTTTAGTAAAAACTTTCGCTGGCAAAAAAGGTGTAGTAACCGGATGGGGTGCTATCACGGAAGGTGGTCAAGTATCGCATACTTTACAAGAAGTTTTTGTTCCTATTCTTACAAACGCAGAATGTCGCACTACGAAATATCCAGCACGCAAAATAACAGATAACATGATGTGTGCGGGTTTCAAAGAGGGCGGCAAGGATTCCTGTCAAGTAAGCACAAAGTCATATTAATTTTGAATAGTATCGTATAAGGAAGTAATATTAAGACATCAATTATTTTTAAATTGTTTATCTTAAACAATTAAATATTATAGCATATGTTTTGAAATATAAAAAAAACAATATTTTAATTATGTAAATAATTGTTACAATAAAAATATATATGACAAATAATGAGTGAAACAAATAAATGTAGGGAGACAGTGGTGGTCCGTTGCATGTAGAAGAGGACGGTGTTCACCATGTAGTTGGTAAGTTCAGCTTTATATTAATTATTTAATACAGACGACACGAAACGTCATGAAACTTGATGAAATTGTTAGACGAAATATAAGAAGACACTTTTAAAAAAACTTGGAAAACCACTCTCACGCAAGAGAAAAGAAATTAAAAAGACTAACTTTACAGGAGTGGTATCCTGGGGCGAAGGATGCGCGCAATATGATTATCCCGGGGTTTATACCAGAGTAAATCGATATCTGACATGGATTGCAAACAACACAAACGATGGCTGTTATTGTTGATATATAATTTTTATATAGACTGATACATTATTTTAATTAATTCATTATTTACATAACGATAGAAAATATGCAAGCTATAGAAGCAATCAATAAAGCGCACAATGAAACATGTATCGCAATTAATAATTCTTAATCTTAATCTAAATGAGATTAAGAATTGCATCATGACACGATAATTATTTAATACATATTTATTTATTTCTATTATACACGTATAACAAAATGTACTCATGTAACAAAATGTACATAACATACGATACACTTTATGACATTTTTATCATGTATATGAATTGTAGACACAACATTTTGTTTCAATGATTAAAAGTTAAGGCACGTACGCTCTTCACATTGGTTAATATTCACAATATAGAATGTATAAAAAAAGAAAGTAACAAGACTTTCTCTGTTTTTCGCAATCAAACGACTTGGAATTTCGGTGAAAACTCATATACATACATACATTGTATATGTTTGTAATGTTGTTTACATCACGCAATAAACAGTAGATGTAATTTAAAATAGATATATGCACGTTGTGCATTTTGTTATTGATATATGTTATCGATATATATTAATAGAGATTAATTTTTAGTTAATTTAAGTACAATGTATATGTAATAATTATTTAATGACAATTATTTTTTGTATAACTAGTAAGTAATTTTGTTTATTGTACACGATTAATGCATATGTATATATATATTAAGAAATTGTCAACACACAGCTTGGTTCCTTTATAATAGATGAAACATATATTTTTATAGCAATTACAGCAATTTTTATAGCGTGTATGAATTTTATTTATTTTATTATTAAAGTATACTCTATATACTAGTGACTAAAAGACCTTTAATTTTTACGTCTTCATCATTTGATGTTTTTTCCTTCATTTCATTATTTGCCGTTGATTCCAACCAATACGTCTCCATATTTCCTTTTCCCTTTATATAATAAATAAAATATAACTCCGTATAGATTACGTGATATATGACGTCATTAATTAATACATTTTCATAATACAAACCTTTATCTTAACAACTCCACGTGATTCGGTACGATAACGTCCTTTCGGTAACAAAGCTTTAGTGCTAGAAGAAATATGCACCTTTCCCGGCTACACCATACAATGTAATTAAATAGTGTGAAAATATTAGAATTCAAAAGAAAGAATACAACAGATTTGTAAGGTAATAAATTTGTTTTTAATTAATTCAAACTGTCATGATATAAGTAATTTACGTAATTATACATAATTGATATACCTCTTGAACTGTGGTTTCTTGAAATTACATTATCAATTTAGATTTACTTATTGCATGTGCAATTTAAATATTCGGTGTTCGTTTATAAAAAATAATTTAATTATAGATTAACCTCTTTGGTCATTATCTTTTATGACAAAATTAATTTAACATAGGAATAAAAATTAGGAGACACGAAACGTTAGTGTTTTATCACTAAAAACACACGCGTGATGTACAGCGCGAGATTGGATTGATTGTGAAATCTTTATCAATCTATGATCCTAAAATCTTTATCTACCAAATGAAATGTTTTAATATGGACTGTATATTATATTTAGATTTATTAGCGTTTAATATCACTTATGTTAGGAAAAGTTAAGATAACTGCATTACCAGACTAGAAGTCTGCATTCTGGAGGCCGTGTTAACAGTATCTCCAAAGAAACAATATCTCGGCACTTTGATGCCGACCACTCCGGCAACTGCTGGTCCAGAATGAATCCCTAAAAAGTTTCATAAATACTATTATCTCAATTAATTAAATTAATTTCTTCGTGTATTCGTCATCTATCGCTATACGATAATTAGTTACATACGATAGACAATAGTTAGTTCTTACGAGGATAAAATTATTCGAAATATCGAGAAAACGAAGCCATACTCCAAGAGCTACAAAAATACATATTACGTCCAAGAAGTTGGATGGCTGTATGCAGGGTTGTTACCTATGCGGATTCGTATATCTAGTCCGTCTGTCCGGTGCACCGCTAGCTGCCATATACACGCTACCAACAGTCTCAACCTGTCACAACATGATGTGGCAAATACAATGTATAATGTGATCAACGATATCATACAGTAGCTCAGATAAACTATCTTCGTGACTTAATAATATATAGAAATGTTTCAGTGACGTATGGTCAGGATAACGGATCACATGTTATGTAATTTTATGTTATTAAGATATTTTATATCTGTTTCTACCAACTTAAATTTAATCTCGGTTTACCTAACTCTTTATTTTTTTTTTAAACTCAAGACATTAGTGTTTTCGATCAAGTCAAGATAAATTTAACTGAGCAAGAGAAATATTTGGTTTTAGCCAAGATAACTTTTAACGGGTCACGTATTGTATTATTTCAGGATATATACATATATTATTAAATACTGCATTATCTCAAACAAAATGATACATAGGATACTTCCAATAAAATGATTAATCTTACTTTGTACACATTAAACTGATCCATCAATGTATCGAAACAGGAAAAAACGGCGTTCATTGATAAAACGATGTCCATCGCTCCTTCGATGGTTGAATAATCAAAGTCGCATAATTCGCAGAAAAGAACCGTTATTGATTCAAATGACTGTAAATAAAACATTTTTAAGTAATTATTAGATTTAAGTAATTATTATCCAAAAGATCTTGATTAAGATTGTGAAGTATATTTGCACACCTCGCAAGTGCTCAATGAACTGGCTCCGGCTCGCAATCGGTCTGCTACCGTTTGTGGAATCATAGAATATAGTAGCTCATCGCTCTTATTTTTCCATTGATCCAGTAACACATAGCTGTTTTCTAATTCCGTTGATCTTTGCTCTGCTCTCTCAAACATCATTTCCAACCTACGAATAATATTAAATTATATATCCGAAAAATTTTATGTGATGTATTCAATTTTAGATGAAATCGTTTTTTCTATTATTTAAGAATAACGACCTTCCACAATGCTGCCATCCTGCCAACACCAATTCTTTGCTCATACCGTGAGGATTTAGGTCATTTAAATACAGACCCATGTTAAGAAGTTCGTCTAAACTGTTGATCCTATTGCAATAAAATAACCTATTAGAAATCAGTTATCTTATGGAAAATGTAATTTATGGTAACATTAAGAACTTACAAAGGACTACAGAGAAATATAATAGCTTTAATATCCTCGATATATCTCATTTGACCCTTCAACAAGATACTTCTCGAACCTTGACTCCCACGTCTATCTAAAGCACTACTTGTGCTTGGCACATTATCTGAATTTATCATAAAATAATTATTTGCTCTAATTAGTTCCAATTCGAATATCACTGAATGCAAGTACATTATCTAAAAATGAAACATTTATGTGTATCTGAATGTTGTGTTCATGCATATGTATGTGTATAATCTATATTACAATTAGAAGTATTACCTTAATTTATAAAACTAATATTACAACCTTCAAGGTATATATAATTTGTATTACTTACGTTCCCCCATGTAAACGGAACTCCTTTCGGTCTTCTTAATTTGAATATTTCTGAAACATGCATGTTTAAAATGGACGTGGTACCGCCCCAAGCTTGAAGCAATTTATCACCAACCCCTAGTATTCGCATGACCTTGTTCATGATGACACCAAATGGAAAAAGGCGTAAGAAAAATGTGCAACTTATCGGTGGTAATTCACGGCCTAATGGAGTATTCATTCTATTGTTCTTCGCAATCTAATTCCCAATGTAAATTGTATAAAACGTTAAAAAATGAATGTTATAAATGTATTATAAATAATATACATATAATTGTAGTTTAATAAAGATTTAACTAATAATAAACGCAATAACAAAAAAATTAAAAGCATAATGTAGTACTGCAATGGTATACATATTGTTAATTAATTCTATCTAGATTCTATCTAGATTCTTTAAAAATGCAGAATGTGAAAACATTTTGCATTAAACGTTTTTTCTATTTTTTGTTTGTTTATTCTAAAAATTTTGCTATTTTTTGAAACTTTTAAACAGCACTGTATATGTTAATAATAACTTATTATATGTATATATATGTATATTTTATAATAATCTTCTTTCGTCTTTTCGAAACAAAAGGTACGATATAATCTCAATTTAAAACTCACATATTGTTGGTTATCGAAATTAATACGAAATTTAATCATTACGCTTCGAGATCCTGGAATACTATTTGAACTTTCTAATACTTTGATATCCAGTTCTGTATTATACAAGTCTTCCGCTATTTGAAATAATTGTCCTACAAAAAGAAGAATATTTTATATGTAATAGAAAATATAATTGAACTGAAAATTTACTTTAGATACTTATATTTGTATCTTTCTTTTTTTCATACATATACTTGTATGAATGTTTTGATAATATAGTATAATTTTTGTATATTCAATATTCAATATAGTAGTATAATTTTTTTATATTCAATATTTATGATATAAGACAAAAGAATAAATTCTTACCCATAAGGTAATGCGTAAAACCTTGCCGAGTACTTCTGTAAACTAAAACAACACCTTGTGGATCGACATGCGTTGTATACATAGATGGACTCTTCATTTTTGGATACGTGAATCTCATTTGCATGTGAATATTGTCTACACTTTGCAAAAAATCACAAAAATAACGACCAGTTGCTTTTATAGTACAATCATACCTAAAAAAATAAGTTATGTATTATGTGCAAATATTTTATTAATTTTTTTGTAAGTATAAGTATAATATTTTTCAAAATATACAATATGTACATATAAGCAATTCTAATTAAATTAATTTATTATATTAACGTGTATAAACTTCTACACACATTTCTTTTTCTTAAAGTTTGTGAAATTTTTAAAGGAAATATTTTGCATTCTTATATGTGTAGTTTCTATCGCTTCAACTTTCGATGATCGTAAATTACATATAATTAAAAGGAAAGAACATTCGAAGTTTTGGAAACAGTATTGAAAGTAATAAAAATCTACGTAGAAGTCATAGAACATGGTAAAAAGTCTAACAATAAACTGAAAGTCCAAGCTCTAAAAGAGACAGCATTACGTATAATAACAAACATAATAAATATAAATTATAAAGGAAATAAGAGACCGTATCAACTGCTAAATGAAAGAACGCAATATATTATAAAATGTAACTCTTTTTTCATCACGTCATAAAGTAAGCTCCAAAAGGTCAAGGATATAAGTATCATTAATAACAAATTCATAGGTTCGAGGCGAGAATCCTGTTAAATCCGAAAGTGTAGAGTGAAAAGATAATATGATGATCTAAACAAAAAGAAACGGAAATAAAATTAGAATTGGAAATGTATTTTATAATTATTATTTGTGTGCGTGAAATTGATTATGCAGTTTCTATACAGTTAATTATATTTTAAAAATTATATAGAATTGTCTCAACATATTTTAAAGTTAAACTTGTGTACATTTTTTAAATACACATAACTTACCCTAAATTGCTAAAAAATCTAACAAAACACTTCCCAAAAAATTGCATAATGTTATCCATAGAATCACCAGTATACTCGGCAAGAGCCATTGCTAAATTAGTCATTAGCACATCTGGATATATTTGTCTTGTATTAAAAACTATATGTTTGCAATCAGCTTTTTCTAAAATTCGAAGCCATACTTCTTCGCCAAATTCTAACTGTAAAAAATATTTTTAATATTTATGTCAAATATTTCATATTTTTATATTTAACACTTTAATTTTGTATTTAATATTTTAATTTAATATTTTATCTTCTAATTTATATAACGTAGATGTCCGAAGTGAACAGAGTGGACAGAGTGGTCGAACATATGAAAAAAGCTGTAATAAAAGCTATAATATATTAAAATAATAAGTTGTAATTCTCCTCTCTCTTTAATTATGACTTCATTAAAATAGTTAAAATTCAATGTAAATGTAAAACAAATAACTCATATAAATGGAACGTAGAATATTATTTGGTAAAGATAAGTATTTGCAATAATATCTTTGTTACGTCTGATAATAGATTTCATGGATCAATTATAAGTCGATTTAGATAATCAAACCAATTTCCCGGTTCCCCTATGTTAATTAATCTTTCTTTTATTAGAATGAGAGGTGGTCACGAAAATGAATATGTGATCTTCAATGAGGAAAGCTCTCAGGAGCCATATCGTAAATGAATACACAAATTTACAAATTGAAAGGATCTAATAAACAACTAAGAAATAATTTAATATTTTAAACATTTTTAATTGTACAAAGATATTTTTAAAAATTTAAAAAAGGAATAAATTGATTTAAAAAAATGGATTTACTAAAGATACATAAAAATAAATAAAATTGTTAATGCTTAATGATATAGTACACATAATGCATTATAATTAATAATCACTATTTTTACCATATTATTAAAATTTATAATATTGTCATTATTTATGTATTGTGTATATACTATAAATATAAAATACTAAAAATAATAAAAAAGAATAAAAATAGTAAAGAAATGTATCAATGCAATTGAAGTTATATTTTATATGAATAAAATACACAGAAGCACATCATGTAAAATACATAGAAGTATCATTAAGAGATAACCTATATAATTACAAGTAATTAAAAGAAAGTATAAGAAAGTATAAGAGGAAAGCAAGGAAGATATTATCAAAAACAAATTAATATAATCGGCCTTACATGTTGATAAAAAGGAGATTCTATTTTTAAAACTTTGTACAATTAAAACATCGGAGATTAAAAGGAAGTAGTGATAAATCCATTCATATTCAAGTACCTCGCTTATTACATATCTATAAAGCGTTTCCTTCGCAAGTACGTGGCATACATTATAAGTACGTAGATCAAAATTTTCAGAATAATTTTCAAGAAACAAATAAAACATATTAAGTTAATTAATTATTATGATAATGTAATAATATTAATTATTGTATGTAACTAACAATAACATAAAATAATGTTTTTACGAATATCATTAAATCTTGCTTTAAACTTCGTAAAGAATTAGACAGATTGATGAATGAGTTTAATTTTGATTCTGTTTGTTTGTCTCTACAAAAAGACATCATAACGAAAATTGCAAATATAGCTTAAAGATAAATGTATTCGACCTTAACTCTGCAATTAAATATCCGGTGAGTATATATACAGTTCATTAAAATGAATGCTGACGAACGTGCAATTAATATAGATTTGTCGAACTTATTAGTAAGTCGATACAAATTTTAATTATAATACAATTTATACTTTATATTTATTTTTTCACCATTTTTTTAAATAAAAATTTATAACAATTTTAATGAAATATAAATAAACTAATATAATAAAAGAATATATAATATACATATAGAACTGCATTTATGTACTTGACAAATATAGTAAAAGCACTGAATTTCCTATAAAAATTTAATCTTATTTTTTATTGTATGATAGAAAATAACTTAAATTGACATCAGTTTTAATTTATGAAATTTTTAACTGTTACATGAATTTATTGTAATTTTTTTTTAATTATATAAATAAGTATAATATATCTTTTCTCTGAAAATGAAATGTCTATCGTGGAAAAAGAGAACATGTCAAGAAACATGATAGGATTCATTAAAATCTGCGCAGCTAGGAGATAAATATCCTTTGCATAAAAAAATTCGATCACATTTATTTAACGTAAAACACGTGAAGGAGAAATTGCCTTTAATGTTATTAATAAAAGGAGAAAAGTAATCAAATATTAAGTATTCAAATATTAAGTAATATAATAGTTAAGTAAAAGAATTTGTCTGAGAAATAGTTTTAATATTTTTTTTTAAATTGCTTTATAAAGAACAAAAGAAACTTGTTCTTCATCAGTACAACATTCACAATCTCAAACTTCTTAAATTGAATATTTCCAAGAGCAGCTGCGCCACTATAATCTTATTAAATTTATTTAGCGGTTCTCTATGTTGTTCACAATAAACAGAACTAGAATTTTGAAATATAAAAAGAGCATTAAAATAAGATTTCCAAACTCATGCCAAATTTAATAAATCATCTTTTTTAAATTTTTATATATATAAATGCAGTTTATAGTTAAATGATTTAATTACAAATATTAAAGAAATGTTAAATTATTTCGTGAAGAAAGAATAATCAAAAAACAATTTTAATAATTAAGTAAATTAATAAAAAATATGTGCTACTTATTAAATTATTTTGTGAAGAAAGAATAAACAGAAAACAATTTTAATAATGAAGTAAATTAATAAAAAATGTGTGCTAATTTACAATACTTATAAATTGTAAAATTATATTACTTACGATTTTATAATACATAAATTTTTATTTACCAAAATTGAAAAAATCAAAAAACATTATAAATAATGTTTCTTTACTTCTTTAAATTTCATTATTAACAACATATTTCAATTAATACATGAACGATTTATAACATAAATGACTAAATCATTTATTTTTTTCAAATAGTAGTGTAGTAATGTATAATAAAAATTAAAGAGTTTTTTCAATAATAAGATAATTTTTAATTTTTGCCATAATATACAAGGGAAAACAAATTTTAAGAAATTATATAGTAAACTGCTTATGTATAGTACGTAAAGAAAAACAAAGAAAAAATAAACTTTTAATTCAAACTCAATCGTTATCCAAGTACATGTGTCCCAAATAAGCTGTATATATCTTAAGTTAGTCAAATATACAATATAAATTCTATGATTTGTTTGTGCTTTACCAACCTGTACGAAATATTGCACACTTTCCAGTAACATCCCGTACATCTTGACGAACACGAATTTCACTTTACTTTAACCGTTTGTTAATTAAATTAAATAACGGAAATATTCGATTTGCAAAACGTTTTTTCGCAATCTTACAACACTAATAAACCAAAATCCTTCGTATTATCTAGCTCCATTGTAATCGCGACGTTCGGAAGACAAGTTTCGCGCCATTAGAATCACAACCATGGTACTCAGTGTCATTTAAACAATAGACTCCCTGCAGTGAAGAGAGGGAAGTTGAATGATGTGCGATAGATCCTGTTTCGACTGTGGCTTGAGGGTTACTCAAGCTAACAAGGATGGATTGGAGAGATGTACCTACGCGATGCGTGTGCGCAGACTTTATTGCTGTTTTACGGAGGCGTTTATCCTGAATGTTTCAAAAAATAAATTTTAGCTCGCAATTATTTGATACATGTTAAAATTATTTACGTTTAGTTTCTAGAGGGTGATTTATTAATTATATTTTGAATAATTAAAAGATTCTTTTTATTAATATTTACATTTTAATATATTACAATAAATTTGTTTCCGAAAGAATACATAAAGACATATTGCTTAAGAATACAGGTGTTCTTAAAATTATTAATCACGTCAGAAAATACATAAATAATTTTTCCAATTGTGTTTTAATCGCGACACGAAATTACGCACGCGATACGATCGAGACAACCAATTCGCATCGTGGAAAAGGGGCAACAATGAATTCGACTATCGATTTAAAACATCTCAATTTTATTATAGGAGAAATTATATAAACTTACATATATAAATATATTTTGTCAATATATTCTCTGTCAAAAAGAGCCGTGATTTCGAGATACTTCCTTAATCTTCCATATTTTTACAATCATATTTTTACTCCCTCTATCTGTAATCCAGGTTTTTTAAATGTTAAAACCTTAATTTAATAAAAATTGAAAATTGAGCAAAAATGAGAAAAAATAGAAATTTGTTAAAAAATGTATAACTTAGCATTAAAAAACCAAACTTCTATCTTTATTATTTCAGAGAAATTTGAGAGTGAACTAAATTTTACTTTTATCAAAAATAACCAAGATTACAGACGGAGAGTTAAAATTAAATAAGCGGAGTGTGTGAGAAAGATTCTTTATAACTGAAAGATATGAAAGAAATAGAACAAGAATTTATATATTCGTTTCCGCATATACGTATAAAGAAGTACATTTTAAGAGGTAACGCCAGTGAAAGTCGTATAAAACATCTATTATTTTCAGAAAACGGAAATTGATCAAATATTTATCTCCATTCGCGCATTAGATTTTTACTTCGTCAAAAGTCAATACAAAGTTACGATTATATCGTAATTTTTATCATCATCTCTTGATTCAATTGTAAACCTTAAGGGCATCCTAAAGCGAAGCTCGAACTCCGACAAAGTCATTAGATATCGCTACTTTTTCAGTGCACTGACATGTCTTTATATACTACCACACCAATATCTCACGCAACCTATGATACATTCAATCGCACGTTCGTGTCAATTTTCGTATAACAAATTCGCCGCGATAAAGCGTCTAAGATTAATTCTTAGAAAAGACTAATTCTCGATGTTATTTGTTCGTGCAAACTACGTAGATCACTATTTCGTCAGTACAGATTTCAAAACTTTCGTATGAAGCAAATGTTGTCACGACTTGACAGCTTGAGACGCCATGTTACACTAAGAAATGATAAAAAATATATCAATTTCGAAATTTTTGGTTGTCTCGGCATAAACTTCACCTCACAAACACATATTAATGCGTATACTTTAATCCTGGAAAAGGATTTTCGAGAGAGAGAATCTGTGAGAGAGAAGAAAATATTTGTTATACAAAAATTATATGATTTAGTCGGTAATACAGGCGGCTTTAGGATCCCCTTAATATTCTCGAGCATTCAGCAAGAGTCCAAGAAGCTCAATGGCAGACTTCATTTGTCGCTACATTTGTTTCAATTCTGTCACGTTACTCCGAATTCCATGTTGATTATCCGGCAGAGTCTGATGTAGGCGTGCGTGTGCTGCACGCGTGCGTGACGGGAATTCTTACCACGTGTTGGCAAAAGGAATGACGCGTGGCCTACTCGGCGTACTCGCCGCCATGACAGAGAGATACGAGCACATGAGCACATTTACGCACGCGTATACATACGTGAATGTTTCTGTGTGGGTGAATGCGCCGTTAGTCGGCAGTGGGAACGTAAACATGGCCGCAGAGAGTGGCGACGGTTTGCCAATATCCCCGTCCGAGAAATCGCTCACCGGTAGCCTCGCGTCCGACGAAAATGAAAAAAGTGTCTCACGTTCACCGTCAAGTTATTCCATACGGGAGGACAAGTGGCCCGATCTCGTCGTGTCCAGACCCAGAAAACTCGATGCCTGGTGGTTGCCGAGACGTGAGTACACAGCCCGATGGTTGCATGGTTCCATGATTCGGCGCGTTTTTTAAAAGTCCGGCGCTCGCGGGCTCAGCTTGGCGCCCGCGTGTTAAGCGCGCGTTGTCGTACTATGCGCCCACGTGTCTCGCCATCATTGTTGTTTCTTTATTGACGATCGTTCTGTCAGCTGGAGACGTTGTATAAACTCTATAGGTAACACATGTTTCACATTAATTACATAATTGTGTCAGATATATATGACAATGAAGCTGCAAGCGCAACTGCACTTTTCTTATTGCACGGATTATAGTATTGTAAAATTTTCCTTTTGTGTGATCATATTAAATTACAAATTTGTATTAGAGACTTAGTTTTTATTGTGTTGTAAATATTTTTATAATTTTGTATAATATGATTTAAGAATTTGAATCGTGACTTTAAATAACGCGCTTCAAACAATGTTAATTTAACAAAACGATATAAGTTTTTAAAGATAGAGAAAAGGAGTAAATAAAAAAATTAAATAAAAAAAAATTGATTTTTGTCCTGATTTCAAGCATAAAGTTTTCGATTATTTTTTAATTTCTTACAATTATTATTTGTTAAAAGATATAAACGCTATGAAAAACTTATAAAATACTGACTGGCACGTATACGTTTTAAGAACTTCTGTAACTATTTTAAATTATTTGTGCTTTTATTTGTCGAAACACGTAACACACACGCAAATTCTATCTCGTGTCTATTTATGCTATGTTGGGATATAACAACAAATATTTACAAATAATATAAAAAATATATTGTATAAATGATATAAAATAAAATGATTGAAGTATGACGTGAAGCTCCGTGTGAGATCAACTTAATCAATCGGCGAATTCGATTCTGACTTTCGTCTTGTATGTGTTTTGATTTTATAAAATGTTAATTTGAAGAATTTGAAGAATGTGAGTGAAAATAGTAATCCCGGGAATCTATATTTTATTTATTTTTTTCTAATATAAATTAAAATTTATATTAACGAGGACATACAAATTGATATGAGTGAAAATCATAAATGTTCATATACTATTCAAACTATATAACACTTGCAATAAAGATTAATATTTATTTAAATATATAATCAGACTCATTTTAGTTAAATGTTGATTTTCAATTTTTATTTTAACTTACAATTAGATTGTATCAAGATTTATAAATCTTTCTTTATACGAAAGCATTTTTATATACATATAACAAATTTAATCAAATTTACTGAATTAATGTAATCAATTTTACTGTAAGATTAATTGTACTTTTTTATCAGTACATTGCTATGTACATTATTATGTACATTAGTATCAGTACATTATTATCAGCTTCTTTAATTCATCTATTTTTATGGAATGCGGACTTCAATTATATATATCAAGTGATAGTGTATTGTCGAGAGCAATGATCTCTTACAGTATTCTCGATATGGTTATCTATCATGTGAGTAATTATGTGAAAAGAAAAGAGAAGACTAAACACAATGTAATATACTTCGCACGTTGACATTAGTGTTATTTTAATACAATGTCTGATATTTTTAATGCTGTTTCTTTTTTATAATTAATTGATATGGAAATTATAATTAAGTTATTTACATTGTTAAATTTTCTACATAAGAAACCCGTATTTACAGCTGCTTTAGTTTTATGTGACATAATGAATACATGTTGAAAATTATAGTTCAAATGAAATAATGTTAAAAGGTAGTTTAAAATACTAATCATTTATAATTATGTATATTGGAATATTGATCTTTCCGGAATATCTAAATAAAATCTTGAAACATGGAAATTAGCCTTTTTATTCTCGTTTTACTATCCTACTCTTATCTGTGAGATTTTTTGCAAATTTTATTCTTATTGTTGCGTGCTGTTATACCGGTAAAGCAATACAGAAAAGTGATGGCAGCACCACATAGCAATGCGCAGCGACACTCGTATTGATTATCGTAGATGGAGACAAAGTCAGCGGGAAAATCAATATCCACATTTTGCCGGTGCTCTCGCTATTTTCGACGTGAAATTTTCCTCGCTCGACATTCCGTACGATTTCTAAGTTGTTTCTACGAGTGCGCTGATTCCTGAACACGCGCCGTTTCGTGAGCAAATAATCATATCATCGTACTACGATGTAGTCGCATTAGTGCGCGTTCACCATTTCTTCTTCACCTAAGCTGAGATTCTATTTGCCGTTTCTACGGTACCTGCAAGTTTAACTGGAGCACCGCTTATTAAAGCAAGCATCTACTTGCCTCCAAGAGACAAGTAGTAGTAATCGAAGGGTAATATCTGAAAAAATAATAAGAAACAGCAATACAATTAATATATACCAATTTTTTACGTTGTTGCCAACTACGTAAAATCTGACTGCAATATATATCATCATTTACTGGTGACTCATCCATTGCGACACATTTTTCTATCAGCTGATCGATGTAACAGAAGAAGAAGATTCTCTACTATACACCATTGAACAAGTTAATATTGTGAAGCAATAGGGTATGGACTAAAAAAAGATATTGGAAGAACAAATCGACGCTTATTAATTCTGATCAATTCGTTATTTTAATAACGAAGAAAAGA